ACCGATATTTTAAATTTTAAAAAAGAAAACACACGGTAAAGTATTTATATTTTGCAAGCCCAACCTATGTACATTAAAAAAATTTTAGGAAAACTTTGAAAATGCCCCTCATTATGGAAAATTTCGGGGTTTTTTTAACGGGGCTTTTTACATAGGGAAATGGTCAAATAAGTTTTTAAAAGTGGGGGGGGTGGGGTTTTAATTTTTATAAATAAAAAACAGTTCTTTTAGAAACAAAAATTTTCCCTCTTTTTAATTTTTTTCCTGAATGTTTTATTTTTTTTTTTACCAATGAGCAATAAAAAAACATTTTCATAATGATTTTTAAATAATTTATTTCGAGTTCCCTCATTTTGAAAAACCCCTTCTAATGGCAAATTTTTAGTTCATAAAAATGTCCATAACTCATAAACCAAGGGAAAATTTTTTTTAAAAATTTTGCATACAGGTGGATTAAAGGCTATACCTGTCTATTTTTGTAAATTTTCCATTTCCCTTATAGTGCCCATTAGGGTTGTTCTACCTTAAACATATACTTCCTCCTACAAAACATTTTACACTGCGTTTAGGTCATATCTCATTACATTTTCTTTTGAACAGTTTACATTAGAACCTTCTGAGTTTATTTTACACAGGAACTTTATACTGAGATATAGATTTTATCCAAAATTACTAGACCACCAATTAACGTTCACGATCCTGTATTAAGTTTAACATGAAAATATCGAAGAACACTCAAGTAAGTGTCCAATATATTATATGGTCATTGTTGTGTTCAATTGGTATCATGTTTATAATTTGCCTATAAATTTGCATATTAATCAAGTTTTTATAAATATAATTGCCTACCCCTTTGTTTATTCTGTCAAATAAGTAGATATGTATCGAAAACTTAGAAATACCATAAAAAGTTAAACAGGTTTACATCGGCCGAGTATCTTTTTGAAAGATACTTCAAGTTCTTACTATAACCATGCTATTTCTGTTTTTCCTACAGTATTATTTTATTTAACGATGAAAATGAATTATAAACATGATATGAGCTGCGTCACGACAAAACAAAAATAGTGGGTTTGCGACCAGCATGGATCCAGACCAGCCTGCTGTTCGCTAACCAACTCTATAAAAAGTGGAGAAACTGACAGCGAACAGTATGGATCCTGATCAGACTGCGCGGATGCGCAGGCTGGTCTGGATCCATGCTGGTCGCAAACGCACTATGTTGGTTTTGTCGTGACGCGGCTCATATATTCTCTACAAAACACTCTAAATGTTGGAGTATTTCAATATGCATCTGTGACTTGTCGAATTAGAACGGTATGTTGTTTGCGAGAGATTGAAATATTCACCAGTTATGAACTAAGTTTATTAAAACCAGCTGCTCACAGGCTTTTCTGGTTATTAACGACACATATTAAAGTAAATAATGGATTTTTAAGATGCATATATTATGCATGATAAATTGAATGCATTGTCCGCCAGTTTAAGACAGGAAATGTAAAATTTTGTTTATGTATTTGTCTAAATATTTATAGAAACGAATTTATATAAGCTTCATCCCGGACAATGATTGATGATTAAAGTGTACTGTAAGTTGCCGCAATGGTAATAATATATACGACGATATAACAAACAATATATTCTCTAAGCTACATCTACTTGCATGTCAAGAAAAGTTTGTAAAACTAAAAAAGATTCCAATAATTTATTTTATGAGACAAGCACCATGCCTCAACAATTCACATACATGACGACTTTCCAGCTTTATTGTGGAGGAATATTTCGGGTACTCCTCCGTGCATTATATCAGGCACTAACAGGCACCTGAGTGGAACAACCGACGTTCTGTTAGCTAGCTGAATATGAAATGAAATAAAAAAAATCCAAATTCCCTTGCGGGATTCGAATCCACAGCGGTGAAGGGCAAGTTGTTTGAAGTCAACGACCTTAAGTTCCGTTTGGCCCACAGTGTTCAAACTTCATGAGATGATTGTCCATATTGGGTAGAAGACCCCTAATGATTTTGGGGTCACAGTGTCAAAGGTCAAGGTCATTATTATTTTAAAACTGAAAACAGTTTCCGGAGCATAACTTAAATTCCATTAGGTCCATAATACTCAAACTTCATAGTATAATTGTCCATATTAGGTAAAAGACCCATATTGATTTAGGGGTCACAAGGACAAAGGTAAAGGTCACTATTACCTTAAAACTGAAAACAGTTTCCGGAGCATAACTTAAAGTCTATTTGACCCACAGTATATTTAAACTTCATAGGATGATTGTCCATATTAGGTAAAAGACCTCTATTAATTTTGGGGTCACAAGGTCAAAGGTCAAGGTCACTTTTACTTTAAAACTGAAAACAGTGTTAAGAAAATAATTTAATTTCAAATTGGCCCACAGTATTCAAACTTCATAGGATGATTGTCCATATTGGGTAGAACACCCCTATTGATTTTGGGGTAACAAGGTCAAAGTTCAAGGTCCCTATTACCTCAAAACTGAAAACAATTTCCAGAGCATAACTTAAGTTCCATTTGGCCAACAATATTCAAACTTCACAGGAGGATTGCTATTTGAAGGATGTAAAACTTTAGTCTTACAAATGCGTTATCCTTACTAAGAAAAAAAAAACACTTTCGGGATATAATGCTCCGCCTAGCAGGGCTCTTGTTTGAATTGTGTTCGACTGTTTGTTCATGTATGTATGTTAACCATTTTTCAACCATAACTCATATACTAGTAACGTCAGTGGAAGGGTAATGGTTTTTATGCATTACACTTTCTTCGGTTAATTATGGAACAACTATTCGCATATATTTTCGTCAATGTAGTATGTTAAAGATAATTATCAAATCGTCCTGTACAAATTTCTGTGTTTGTGTCTATTTTAAACATTCTGCAAGTTTCCCATGGTTATAAATCTACCTCCTTGAAATATAGTGTCGGGCATGACCTTACCGTGCCAACAAAGATGGTCAATAACCTTTCTCCCTTGTTTTGTGGTTATATTAAAAGTACTTTATAAATTATTAGTCTTTGAAAACTGGACGACATGTGTTAAGTTACTTTATGGCTGAAGTTTATTCCCAGCAGTAAATATGTCAGATCCAGTTCGGTACCATATAAATGGCTTGAAAACGCATTATCCCATACACTTGTCGAAGATGTTTTTACAATTTTGTTGCTTTATCAGTTTATTGAGAAAATCTGTGGGTGGGGGACAGATGGAGGTTGGAGTCCTACAGGTCCTCCTAGCGGCGGTGGGGGAGGTGCTGGATGGTTTCCACGACGATGAACCCCCGATGGAGATGGGGCGGGATGCTAACGCCTGGTTGGGAAAAGACGGTGGGTCTGGTGGAGGATGTTTCCGACGATGAATCCAGGTTGGGGAGTGTCGAGTACAGCAACAGCACCTATCGTTCAGGTATTTTACATTTATAACATTCTCATACAATTAATATAAATTTATCAACTTGCTACATGTGTTTTATCACAACGTACTATGTATTTTTTTTCCCTATTTATTCGGGTCTGCATTTTTCACTATAAATAGTCGTCGTTTATACACAAATCTTCTAGTGAAAGTTGTACATAATTGTACAATATTAACATTCTAACAAAAAAAACACTCAAACAATTTTTTGGGGTTTATGTCTCTTCGACTGATTTTTTTATTCCAGACTCCTCGTGTGAAGGGAACGGTGGCAACGTGTTTTCTAGACGGCACTGGTGCAAAATTGTGATGGGAGCGAGGGCAAGTATCCCTGTGGCGGAAGAAAACTTCGTCTGCTGTTTGCCGAATGTCTGTTAGTTTTTATTTCATTATTTGTTTTGTAATTCTTTGATATCCGAGTTTCCCGTTAGAAAAAATTATCATCGATAGAGGCACTTAATTTCATCGGCAATTGCACATAGATACCATTATAATAATGCAAATAAATTTCTCAAAATTCTGATTGGCTTAAAAGACCTTGTAGTAGGCCGTATAGACCCGTGAAGAACCGAATGACTCACAAAAAATGTATTTTACATTTCAGACGGGTAAAACTAAAAATATATTTATGACAAACTTTCGATTTAAATGACATTATTCATGTTATTTTTAAAAAAAAGTTCACATGACTTTATACTTGGAATTACTTTTTTATTGCACAGCTTAGCGTAGCCGTTGATTAGGTGCGTCTTTTTCCCCGCCGCTTCTTCGCTTGTATATCCAGTAACGCCGGAATGTGAAAAAACGCACATTCTTTTTGCCAATAAGTAACGCAGAAATGTGCAATAAATGGGGCTACCTGAAAGGGATTTCCAACGCAGTCAAATTTAAAATGGCCAAAATTTTAATTTTTTTTTTTTAATCGTAAATGAAAAAAAAGAAAAAGCTGCATACGACTGCAAAGACATTACTCTTTTATCCCCTTTAAGATTATTTCCACCCAAATTGTTTTCCCTTTTTTAAAAACATCTTTACTACGTTTTAGCGAGGGGGTTTTTGGCCCTTTTTTTCACTCTGATTTAAAACATTAATGCCCTTTCTTATAAACCCTATAATTTTTGATTTTAGATAGGCAAGTGGGCAATTACTTTAAAAATTTTGGTGGGAAAATAAAACTGGTGACATGGGATTTTTGTCGTTTTTATTTAGGGGAACGCCGATGTTTCGTGAATTTTAAAGCTTCGTTACCTCATAAAAAACGGCATGAATTCACATTTTATCAGTTTTATTTTTCAATTTTCTATCATCATAAGACGCTAAGTTTATGTCACTTGGACTGGCGAAATCGAATTTATACTGATAATATTCATTGTTGTACTTAAAAACAAAAACCAAAATCTCGCCTCAAAAACGGTGGCGTCAAGCCATCATTTTCACGAATGATCTTGAAAAGTAAAATAATCTTTGATTTTATGTCTTCATCTCAGCCGTATGCGCTATTGGGTTTTTTTTCAGTTCCGCTTAAATAAAAAATAATACTGGCCAGTTTTCTTACCGCGTTGGGGAAATCCTGTCAGGTATCCCACCATTTATTGCACAATTCTGCTATTGCAGGAATCGGTGTTGTTATTTCACATTCCGGCGTTACTGGATGGATTATAGACGTGTTCTTTGACAAACAGTCTAAAGTTGCTTTGTTTTCTTATGAACTTGTCGTCATTAACAATTTGCGTCATTTTAAATTCGTTATGTATACAAGTACTGACGTGATATACGGGAGAATATAACCCTCGGTCATATTTATCTCATTCAGGCTATATTCTTCCGTATATACCTCAGCAACTTGTATAACTAATAGTCAGCAAGGAAATCATGATCCGCTTATACTTGGTCATTTCAATAATAATAATAAAATAACTTTATTTACAAAACTTTACACAAGGTAAGTCATATACAGATTGTAACACCTTATTTACAATTACAACAATAGCCATGTTGACATGGCCATCCCCGCCGAAAGTGTTTGCTCATTGGAAGAATATATATGTCGTAGAGCAGAATAATTCAATATTAAGAGGTATTTTGGTAATGAAAACAGATGCCGAAGTGATAACAGATTTGAAACCTATGTCAATACTGATGGCTGAAAATAACAAAGGGCAATAACTGGAAAATAATGCAGGATATGCTATCATTCTTGTGTGCTGTCCTCCTCCTCAATGAGATCTATCCATCTAAGAAGTTTCAAGTTGATATCTCTAACACTTTTTAAGATAAGCTCCGGACAAAAGTATGAAAAATAACAAACGGCAATAACTTAAAAATTATAAAGGGAAGAGTTTATTTTCTTGCGCACAGCATTCCTCCTCAATAAGATCTATTCACCTATGAAGTTTCATGTTGACATCTCAAAGACTTTTAAGTTATGCTCCACTCAGGTGAAAAATTAAGTATGAAAAAAATAACAAAGGGCAATAACTAAAAAATTATGAAGGGTAGAGTTATCATTTTTGTGCACTGCACACCTCCTGAGTGAGATCTTTCCATCTATGAAGTTTCATTTTGATATCTCAAAGGCTTTTTGAGTTATGCGCTAGACAAAAATTAAGTTTGAAAAATAACAAAGGGCAATAACTCATAAATTATGCAGGGTAGAGTTATCATTCTTGTGCACTGCACTCCTCCTTAATATGATCTATCCATCTATGAAGTTCCAAGTTCATGCCTCAAATACTTTCTGAGATATGCTCCGGACAAAAATGTCGGACGGACGGACGGACGAACAGAGACTATTTCTATATACCCCCGCCTTTTCGGCGGGGTATAAAAAAAACTCTTATCAATCGAAAAAATATAACATGTCAAAGAAATGATTTAACGGTAATCACAGTTTTAACATATATCTTAACACATAATTATACTGAACATTCATATAATTCATTTTATCAATAACTATCATTTTTCAGTGCATCATTTCAATCTGCAATTTACAAAGTAAAAGTAACAAAGTTAGCAGTCAAAAAATAAAAACTAGCACAGACTCCATTATCAGAAAACATATTAAAGTAAGAAATACAGATAATAATGAAAATAAATATATGAATATAAAGAGCGTATCTTGTACATGTATATATAAAATACACTTAAGTTAAAGCTAAAGTTGATTAAATAAGTATTTTTTGAAACTATTTTTAGATATTGACAATTTTGTTTTCCTTCTAATAGTCAGGGGTATGGAATTCCAGAATTCCAAATACCCATGTCATTAAATTGGAATGTGTCATTAAACTAATTACTACGTGGTTTGTAAGACGAAATTAAATTTCCGTGAGGTATCGATCTTAGATTATACTTTTGTTTATTAGATATGGTAAGTAAGTCTCGGATATATTGAAGGGACATATCATTCAGTGCTTTATGTAGTTGGGACACCGGTGTGAAAAATACATCTTTTCTTGAAAGGCAACATTTTTGATATTTTGTATAAATTTGCTAATCGTTTTCTCATTGGTAGGTCTAGAATAATTTTGCACATTCGAGTTCGTAATTTGTATATTCGGTCTATATAATTTTTGTTTTCTTTCCCCCATATATTACAAAATTTATCAAAAATAGGAAGAAGGTATGCATTATAAAGAAAAGCATGCGGGATTCCTTATTTAGAAATTACGTTATACGCCAAAATAAATTAACTTTAAATTAACACACACCACACAGTGCCGTCAACTTGTGGGGACCAAGCTTTGAGTCGACGTCTAAGACGGCAGAGCGTGCGCGGAATTTCTAGGATTGTAGGCGGAGCTGAAACAAAGGCACACTCATGGCCATGGCAGGTTTCCCTTCAGCTCAATGATAACAATTTCCACTTTTGTGGTGGCACACTTATCAGCGATCAATGGGTAGTCACAGCGGCACATTGTTTAGTCGGGTATGCCACTGATTTCTGTTTACATTCTCACAAAATCAGATCTAAACCCCCAGATTTAATATATTTAATAAGATCGGAGCCAAGTGAATAAATTCAGATAAATTGTATAATCTAATAAATACATAACGTCTTAAATTTTGCACTAGATGAAAACATAAAACAACTGATGATACTCATTTTTGATTGCCTTTTCGTTGTTTGAAAATATATTATTAAAATTATTTCTAAGAGATTCTACAGTGGCTAGAGTAGTTCTCGGAGAGCATGATAGATCTACAGAAAATGGCCGGGAGATAACTTCATCTGCCACTGTTTTCAGTGTAAGTAATATTCTATATACGTTTTGAATCAAAAATATTGTATTGAAATACAAATGTATTGTATTTATTTATATAGACGACGCGTGAATTAAACTTTAAAGAGGCATATTTATCTATTTTTAAGAAGGTTTATCTTCCCTGAAAAAGCAGATTTGTTAGTCGGAAATAAAAACTATCAAAACTAGAAAAATACACGGGTCATAATCATGACAGGATGATATGATACTTTGCAATTATGTTATTCAAATTTTACTCTTGACCTAAAAGCTTTTGCAATGGAAGTTTAAAAAAAACAAAACTTGATCTGGTATTATTTGGTTCCTATTTCCGTAAAATATGCCGGCTACTAGTATATTGCAACTGTAAAAAGTCTCCTATTTACTGAATTATAGAATAAGCATGTCAATTTGTTTGAAAGCACTTTTTATTTTTAATATCAATATTAAATTTTGTTTTGTAAATAATCATATGAGATGTTTATATCTTGATAACTGTGTCTCTTACAAGTTAATACATTTAAAAATCTTCCTTAAAGTGAAAATTTTCATCCGCCCAGTTTTTCACTATTAAGACAGCTGATTAATAATATTTGAGCCGCGTAACGACAAAACCAACGTAGTGCGTTTGCGACCAGCTTGGATCCAGACCAGCCTACGCATACGCGCAGTCTGATCAGGATCCATGCTGTTCGCTTACCAACCTTAATACAAGTGGAAAAACTGACAGCGAACAGCATGGATCCTGATCAGACTTCGCGGATGTCCAGGCTGGTCTGGATCCATGCTGCTGGCAAACGCACTATGTTGGTTTTGTCGTGACACGGCTCACGTGTAAAACTACAAATGTTCTTGTAAGGAAGAATTTGCCGCTGTTTTCACATCAAACTGTTATTTTCAGCATCAAAATTATGAAAACAGCGCGCCCTATCCAAATGATATAGCCTTGTTAAAGCTGAAAACACCAGTTGCATTAAATGACAACATTCATCCAGCATGCCTGCCAGAAAATGGAACTACTTTCGATACAGGTACGGACGACTGTTGGATCACCGGATGGGGAGACACGAAAGGTGCTTCTTGTTAAATATCTTATTTTAAGTAAAACTGGTATTGTTTCGAGCACGTGACATGATTAATTTGTGTTATGAGTCTTCCCTGCTTTAAATTTTGAACAGTATGCTTAAGTTTTACAAATATAAATATATTTGACTCTATCTTAATACGTCCATTCGGAAAGTTGCAGCACTTTGAAATCAATTTTGATGGAAAACATCAACGCAAAAATAGTGATTTTTGGCAATTTTGAGATATCTTCTTGTTGCCATGGTAACAGAAAATTTAAGACTGAGCATGTCGTTACAAAGGCAATGGTACAGTCAACATTTGTGCCAAGTTTGTTAAGTATTTTATAGTTTTTTTTAGGAATTTGAACTTGTAAAGGGAGACCTTTCAATGAAACAGCCATTTTTCACCAAATGCTCTCGCAGTAAAGGGTTAGTAACGTACAGTATAATAATCTTGAATATAACTATATGAGTACAAGTAACTTTAAAACCAACCAGTCATGAAGGCAAATTAATGAAATACCTTGATATAAGTATGCTATTTCATTTGATATTTAAATATTCAAATGTTACAATGTATTCACTAAAACTGCATTTTATATACAGACATTATTAAAATTAATTAACCATTGCATTCGATATTTCATTGTTAATTGTAAGCAAAACAGCAACAATAACAACTGTTTTATTTATTAGTTTTTCACTGACATCGACATATTCTGTCTTTCATCATATAATTGACCTGAATTTCTGTCATTGCGCTTTTGCCCTACGCAGAATGCACATGCGCGAAATGCAATACCATTGCTATGGAAAAATCGTACTGTGAAAATGTCTATTCACTTTTGGTTCCAGCAGGTTGTGGAGTACAGACAAAACGTTATGTTTCATGTGATAACATCACTTAATAAAATGTATACTTGATTGATTTTTCCAGACACTGGCGATGAGAGTAAGTTGAATGAACTACAGATATCTATAGTTGACAATGAATCATGTGCTAGTAAATGGGGCGAAAATTACATCCTAAAAACGAACATATGTGTCGGGGACGGTCTGTCCGGTGCATGTAACGTAAGTGCTCTTGTTTTAATCATTATTTTATTTTGTATCAACATATCGTCTTGAAATCATTGAAATAAGTTTGCTTATATATCTACTTTTTACACAATTAGTTAAATGCTTAAAATTAATCAATTTAAAAAAAAACACATGTTGATGACAAATATCATTATTAGGAAACTCGTCTTTCGATCTCATCTATTTCCATTTTGTTAGATATTTTGTTTGTTGATTTATATATGTACATTATAATAATATACTTTTGGGAATAGATATATTTAAACCAAAAACAAATATATGATTGTTTCATTTGCTTGAATATGAATCTTACATAACCACATATATACATACAGTATTAAGCTCCATGACATAACTAATAAATCAAATTTAAATTTTTATCAAGGATTAACGTTAAAATAATAACAAGTTCTCAAGTAAAAAAGTGTATTTCATACTTAGTAAAACAGTCAGGTTTTAATTATTTTTACATTATATAACACTAGATGGAAAGATTTTCAAACACATTTAAGTAAAAGATTCATAAGTTTAATGACCTCGCATAAACAAATGTAATATGAATTATAATATCTGTCATATTTTACAGTTCGGATCGGAATATCCGTGCCGAGGTGATCCACCCATTGGGCAGTAACGAGGCTGGCCGAGTTACCGCCCATGGGCGGGTGACCGAGGGGTGTATATTCCGATCCGAAACCGCAAACATATGTCAGATATTTTTTCTTGCATATTCTACCACATTCCATTATATTTTTAATTCTTTATCTTTACTTTCAATGAAAATTTATATCATTACAACCGTAACTACTTTCATCAACAGCGTATGAATTACAAAATCATTCAAAACAGTAAAATGACGTCATCTTTATCGTGCCATCGTACAGCACGCGACTCATCTGGAACCCCCCCCCCCCCATTCCAGTTGAAATTGCCGGCATGGGTAAAACTAACGGAAACGCCAGTCTGATATGAAAGAAATGATGAGCTAAACAATTTTATAGCTTATTGTTATATGGGAAAAAATTTTAACTTGCTATTGTGTATTTCTTTTTGTTTTAACAAAACCACACTGTTTAATAAAATAGCTTTTCTGATGTGCAACATGTCAGCGAGCTTTAAAGAATTAAAATAAAAGTTTTTAGTGAAGTGATAGTGCCATGTTTGAATATCATATTCTTTTTATCATTTTCTAATTTTATTTACCTAATAAATAAAGTGCCTAAGAGCCAGTCTATAGTCGATCGTGGTTTAGCAATGTGTTTATCTCGTGTTTATGTCTTTGTATGCATACTGAGATAATCAAATAAACTTGGAAACTTGTAAGAATTAATTTTTATTTGATTGGTGATTTATGTACATCATATAATAATTAATTTTGAAATCTGACCAAAAAGAAATTTAATGTTAAATTTATTCAGAAATATGTTTTCTCTCATCAAATATCAAAGCATACTTTTATAGAGTATTTTATATTATATTTGTAGCTTAATATACATACATGTACTGTTTCATACATAATGACTAAAAAAGACCATAGTCATAACGTGTATGCAAGCAATGATAAGAACAATTCAGCCCCCCCCCCCACACTAACACAATTTAGACCACTTTGGTCCAGCCCAGATGATAGTCTCTATAAAGGGATTTTACTGTATAAATGTAAAACAAAAGATAAATGTATCATCAATGTCAATCAAATTTTAATCATAATAACTGGCTGAGTTTTAGCTGTAATTGATTTATTACAATTAAATTAATCAATTTTTGGCAAGGTAATCAATTACGTAATGATAACAGTGTCATGTAATCGATTAAAAAATCAAAGATTACAATTAATGATTACCCCAGGTCTGGACAATACACGAAAGTTTCCATGCAGCTTTCACTAGTGCAGATCATGTTATTTTCAGGGAGATTCGGGTGGTCCGTTATCTTGTCGCCGACAGGGAGAACAGGCCTGGGAACTTGCCGGAGTGACATCTTGGGGTGCAAGTGGCTGTCAGTCAGAGGGTTTACCAAATGTGTACACCAGGGTGTCCCAGTACCGACAGTGGATCCTAGCTACAATGAGGAAAAACTTGTAAATGATGGACATTTTCTTGTATCTTAACTGGCTACAACTCTTCATTAAAAATAACTAGACCCCGTGTTGAGATTTTCTTTAATATCGAAGTTGAAATATGTTCATTATATACCAGACTATGGCATTTTTTTTGCATACAGCTTACAATATATATTGGATGGTAAATATTGCTACATTTCCAAAACTATTAGTACATTTTTTAAATTTGAGGCGTTGCATTTTAATAGACTCTTAAATAAGAAATTTGAGAAACACTTTGCACACACTACATTATATCAAAATTTTCTACTTTTGTGGTTTGAAGTTTAATAGGAGGCCAATCAAAACAGGCATGTTAATGAAATATTTTATGTACAGTGATATTTCAATGATGTTTCTTCCTTTTATGAGTAAATCATTCTATTATCCGAAAGCGATTAACTTTTACCAACAATATAGAGTCGGGCTAGCCTGCAGATCGATCCGTGCTGTCTGGCCAGGTTCTATACTGTTGATAGTCTAAATCTTTGTTTCTGACGTTGGAGTTGTCGAATGGATTTTTTTAAATCCAAAGTAGGGAAAAGCAGGGCAAATGTAGCTGTTAAAGAATTTGAGTTATATCTTAAATGTGTAGTTATGCAGTTCAGTATTGATTTACACCATGATTGTATTATGGTATTATTATTTAGCGACAATGCAACAAAACAAATAAGCACATTTCTTACCATTGCACGATGATATATTACATAAAAACGTTATTTCACAAAATAGACGAAAGAAGGTACAAAAAATATCGGCAACAGCAGAATGTGATGTTAGATGTATAATTTATAAGAAATGTGTTGTTACCACCGTGATAGAAGAATCATTCTGAAATACCCGTAACAGTTGCCAAGGATACGCAACGACGTCATGTTTATAAACGGGCTTTGATGGTCAACTTTGACGTCATGTGTACAAAAATTGGCTTAAACTATTGAAAAAAAAATCAACGAAATCCAATCAGAAATATGGTCAATATTTTGCATGCCAATTTTCAAGACGCTACTCGAAAGTTCGCAAAGTGTCGCGTTATACCTTAAGCCTAATAAAAAGTGTCAGTTTTACATGCAAAAAAAGCGTCGAGCTAAACTTATTGAAAAAAAATTAGCGAGTTCAGCAGTTGTTAGACGAAATAGCTTTAAAGGAAACAAAACAATATTCAACAGAGAAAACTGGGTTGATTCATTAAAGAAAAGGTATTTAAAGTATAACATGCACAGAAAGATGTAAACAATTTTATAAAAGAGGAAATGTATCAGTCTCATTTTATGCTCGGAAAGACAGTTTACGGACAAAAATTAATGAAACACAGCAATAATTTACCAGTGCCTTCTTAAAGGCACGTCAAGGTCCAAAAATGTTTCTATTTTATTTCTCAAACGGTTTTTGTGGGTTTTTTTTCTGTTCAGTGTCGTGTTATACCTTCGAACAAAATTAACTTATTGAAAATTTACTTGAAACATCCTTTTCTGTTTTTGCTTATTTTCTATTATTAAAGTTATAGTAGTTTAGTATTTTGTACGGGAGTAGCTTTGTTTATAGTTTGCTACTGTCAAATAAGTTCACATTTTGTACCACTTTTTCATATGGATAATCACTTTATATGCTCTAAATCTATTATCAAAACATTATAAAACACATGCTTGCCATTTCTTTACCACTATATCTGAGGCCTAATGTACGATGTTTTATTGTGCCAGTATAACAGACCTGACTGACAAGTTTTCACACCATATCTCTTACTAAAGAGGGGAAAAAAAATAAGAAAAAAAGTAAAATAATTGTATATTAACACAAATATGACATAAAGAGCAACCAGTTATTTTCACATCAAGGCGCACAGAATACCTTAAACTTAATGCAATAAATAGTTACATGTTGAAAGTTTTGACAATTATGACAACAGTTTTTTTTTTAAATGTTGACGGGCGATATATAAAGCTTGATACAAAACAAATTTCTTTTAAATACGCTGTGACTTGTTTTAAGCGACTGAATCTGAGATACATTTTTAAATATGGTAAATATTGATTTAAATATGGGAAAATATTGATTTAAATATGGGAAAATATTGATTTAGATATGGTAGATATTGATTTAAATATGGTAAATATTGATTTAAATATGGTAAATATTGATTTTATTGTGGTAGATATTGATTTAAATATGGTAAATATTGATTTAAATATGGTTAATATTGATTTAGATATGGTAAATATTGATTTAGATATGGTAAATATTGATTTAGATATGGAAAAATATTGATTCAAATATGGTAAATATTGCTTTAAATGTGTAATTAATTGATCTAAATTATGGAAATGATATTGATTAATATAATTATAGTTAATATTGATTTTGATTATTATAACATGTAATGCTATAATGAAAGTTTAATTACAGTTTACATTTATATATATAATTGCTTTATTTACACATGAAAAAGTGACATAGATTTCTATAAGAATAAAAAAGTTTAATAAAGTTAAGAATTAAAAATTATAAGAGTGGCTCGGCCAAGATGTAAATTTCAAGTGCGTAAGGAGCTAGTAACAGTACCTTTGAAGTAAAATGACTGTTTGATGTAAATTTTCTTTTGGCATCTTGTGAGACAAAAGACATATTTGCTCATAGTTCTTTTCTTCCACGAAGTATTATTTTACTCTTTACATACGTAAAAGAAGTATCGAGACAGTGTTAGTTTTTAACGGACTTTTAGTGCTATTTATGCGGGACATTTCTGTGACAATTGTGTTGACATTATTTACTTTAAGTGTAGTATGTGGAGAGGTTTGAAAAAAAAATTGCGGAATATTTTCTGTATACTTTACTAGTACAAAACTCCGGAGCAATTGTTGCATAACTGGTCACCGGTATACGACTTCAAAATTCAAAATTTTACCAGGTCATGTTAATATTGAATTCTGCTTAAGCCGGTGCTAGGGGTTGGGCGTGGGCGGTTTTGTAATCACCACTACTGTCCATGAACAGGCTTATTCAGACCGAGCCTGCAACATTTTCAATTTTGCCGGTTTGGGGATTCCGTTTTTCTCTATTTTAAGTAATAGTTTTATTACCAATAACATGCACAAAGCCGAAAAAAGCAAATTAAACCAAACGAACAATGACCAGAAACCATATTAAGAAGAAAGCATAACGGTGTTTATTGACGACAGTGGTATTACTGCCTACAAATATTCGTACAGAGCCTGATGTTGGAGCCAAACTTTAAGTGATAGTGACTTAATCGCCCTTTAAAACGCTCTGTACCATAGTTTATATTCATTAACATAAAAAAAATTGTCTTCTTGGCGGGTGACTGTCTATGAAAGTGTTAAAATGACAGATACGTTAAGACAGAGAATATGAAGGAAAACGTTAAAGTGCATTAAAATAAAAATATAATATGTACATAATAAATGTCGTTTACTTGAAGCTGTTAATTAATGGAAATTTAACAGATGTTTTTATACTTCAAGTGGCTTTAAATAAAGTTTAAGATTTTCAGGTTTTGCATTTAATTTTTGTCCGTTGATGTTGAAAGTTTGAATCTCATAAGGAATGTGCTCTCCTTCCTTCTGTATGCTGAAGCTGTCAAGTTAGTTTATGAGAAATCTATGGTTTCAGCAGCTTATAAGACCTAAACTTAAATATTGGCATTAACAATGTTTTTTCGTTTTTTTCAGCCAAATGTTCTGAAAAACAACTTGATATATGTTTCCTTGCTTAGGTTCACTAAGAGTGAAATAATGTTTGTTTCCAAAAATTTGAGTTAGAAACTTAGATAATTGAGTGAAATCAGTTTATAAATACAGTACCCAAACCTACAGTGCAAGTAAAGTAATGAACTTATCTATTAGAAAATGATTCAAAATTTATCAAATTTTTTTTATACTTTGCCTTTAAAAGAAGAAGTATTAAAGCTTTCTTTGTGTATTTCATCACAAAGAAATATCAAATCAAGATTTATATAATTTGCATTTCATAGAGGAGGTAAATTAACATTTACTCTAAAATAGTGTATTCATCTCTCTTGTTTTGTATTTCATCACAAACAAATTACCTGTTAAGACTGAAATATTTTGCATCTTAAAGACGAGGCAATTAATATATTTTCTGTGTCTCTCATTTCGTATTTTGTTACAAACCAAAATATGGTTATATAATAAATATCCCTCCGCTAGCCCAAAATTGATAACATTTTGTTTTTGCGTATTGTTGATATTGCTAGAAACGTTGATGCTTAAAGCAAAAAATTCTATTGTATTGTATTGTTTTGTTTTGTTCTGTTCTGTTCTGTTCTGTTCTGTATTGTATTGTATTGTATTCGAGATTTCGCATAAATTCATGGAAAGTGTGATTTGTGTTTACAGTTCTCGTTATAGAAGTAAAGGGATATTTCGTTTTTTAAACAATTAAAACAATTAATCACTGCACAGGGTGAATGCTCTCGACAGTGCAAATGTAAATAAACATTTTTATTTGAATGTACACCTAATTATAGATCGAGCTATTAATAGAAAAACGATGTTTTACTTCTTATAAAAAAAAGCAAAAAAAAAAAAACAGTATACATTTGCTTTTTGTAACTTTAATTTTTGTTTAAATCAAATGAATCATTTCTAAATACCATGGGCGATAATGATGTTTTTTGTTTATTTATCGTACTTAAATCATAAGCATGGAACTTTAAATAATAAAAAAGAGCATTAATGGTAATATTAAATCGAGAGTTTAACTTTTGTTCATCAGCTTTAGGACATTTATATGCATCTTCTTTACAAATAGCAATATTCTTTCTGTAAGCAAATAACTATAAATAATCATTTTCTAAAGTGGTCTAAGAGTTAATTTTGGCAAATTTACGATCGAATAGGCATTCGTTATCCAGCCAATAAGAAAACGTATAAATGAACCAACAAGACTTTTCCAAAACTAATATTTTGATAAGAGTCTATATATCTAAGTGTTTTATTTATATTAGTATAAGACTGATGTTTTTAATTTCATTATAATGTCTGTGTTATTTTTAAATTTCAGCTGTTCTCAGTAGCAATCGTCATCTCGCTTATAGCATACACAAGGTATGTTGTTCACGTTTTGTAATAAATTATACGTAATATATAAGTAATTTGAAACACCTAGACACTTTAGTCACTGTACATTTAGTTCTGTTAATATGTACTGTGTTAAATGATTGGCAAGACATAACAATATATGGCAAACAGTTTGGACATTATATTTTGATACTGTCACACAAAAAACCCTCTCTCTGTATTTCTAATCAGTGCTATTACAATTCTTAATTAACATCAAATTCTGGACGTTATATCTATATCTTAAGAATATGTTATAATTTGTTATCTTGCCTTATAATGAATTATAAATGGCTTAGTTCAAATTACTTTGGTCTTTATTGACTTGAGTTATTATACTTCAAAATATTCCGAGCAATAAATGCATGTCAGTACAAAACAGTTTCAACGCCAAGTCGTTAAAAGCCGATAATGCCTCTGAAAAGCTACTATTTATAGCTCTCAAAAAGTACTTTTGGTATCCTGTTACAGTGGTAAAAATAATCCTTGCCATATGCATGATATTCGACTTCTTTTGCTCTGTTTGGGAATTGATATAATAACAGTACATGGATATTTTGTTTGCATCGAAGTCAAAATACTACTTTGTTTAGGTTTAGCTTCCTTGGCCTCACATTACTGTATGTTCAGTGCTACTTTCTTCAGGTGTTAAAAATCTTTCTTCAGGTTATAAAAATCTAACATGATCTTTTCTTTCTTTTAAAGTTTAAAATTCTATTTTTATGTAAAATTATGACTAAAATCATTTCGTTTTAAAAGTACTAATTATACACTACCTTTCTATGCAATTTACTTTGAGTAATTTATATAAACGTTGCTGTCAAATGCTTGGACTGTTTGCTGTAAATCTTCAAATTATTCATTTCGAATAATTAATTAAATGTCCAAGTTGAATTTTTGCACGTCTTGCATAAGACATATTAAATATTTATTATATAGTAACGTATGTTCTTGTATCTCATTCACAAGGTGATATATTTATATCTTTTAAGTTTTTTTTATTTTACATTCATTTAATGTAAATGGTATTTTGTTACTTGTTAGAAGAGCGATTTTTATTTTTGTATCAAATGAAAGAAAATAATAAATGTACTTTGGTTGCAATGCTATTATGGCAAACTCAACAGATCTAATGACAACAGACAATTTGAATTGATAAATGTAAATGTTTTTAATGTTTTAAATTTATATTTCACATGCCTTTGCACTTTTTAAATATTTCGCTTTCAACATTCCAATATACTTATCAATATTGATGTAGAAATTGATGGATAAATAAATCTGAATACACGCATAAAGTTTTTTTAATGTAGTTTATTATCACACAGTTTCGACATTTTGTCTAAATGCCAATCTTACAAAAATAAATAAAAAATAAAAACAAATAACAAAATATGTATTAACTTTAAAGCGCAATATGTCAACCAACAAACATGGACAGAGCAAGTAAGGTGTTCAAGGCGTATGATACAGACAATAATGGTAAAATATCAAGAGGTGAAGGTCACATGACGTTCCGGATGTCTGACAAAAACTGTAAGTGTGCCCGGCTAAAACTTTTTAACCCATTTCTTCATGAGCATTTTGTGAAAAATAGCTGTTTTCATTGAAAATCCTCCTGTTATTATAAGTTCAAATTGCTATGAAACTATGAAAAATATTTCAATACTGTTCAAAGTCGGCACAAATGTTCACTGGACCATAGCATTTGTAACGACATCTTAAATTTCCTGTTACCATGACAACGAAGGGACATCTGCAAATTGCCAAAAATCACTATTTTGCGTTGAGTTTTCCATCAAAAACTGATTTCAAAGTGCTGCAACGTCTCAATGGATTGAAATAGAATCAAAGGCTTTTCAGTATTGGTTACACGTTACTTTAGGTAGATATGAGGCCATTTTAATGCCCTCACAAGTTCAAAATTTTCTTAGAGATGAGGATGTTTGCTGACCCCTTCAAACCTCCAAGCAGAAGGGGGCACATCAACACCCTCTGGCACCTTTTCTTAAACGAAAACAAGTGTTTGGAGTCTAAATAGGGCATTTTTATTTGAGGCCTCACAAGTCGGGGGTGTTATCTTATCATTCCAGCTGATGGCAGTTTATCACCTGACGAATTCTCTACAGAATGGACATTTTACAACTCTAAAACTTACATGCCATTCTTTTACGCCGGTGATGAAAATAATGACGGGAAATTAGATTTTGATGAAGGAAATAAGGCCTTTGACTATTTCGACAATAACGGTAAGAATATTTAAATTGTAAGAGTAGGTTGTCAAAGAGATGCATATAATTTGACATCAGGAATAACTTGCTAAGACTAAGACCTTCTATTGTCATTATTGTAGTACATACAAAGTTGTTTTAAGTGAAATTTCCTCTACTATGAATCCGTTGCCAAGTTATTAAGTCTGATTTTGGCACAGCATTGTATTAGCATTAACTGGTGTATAGTTCAAACTATTTATAAATGCATTAATGATATACCGGGGGAAGCAAATAATTTTATGTTCCATATCTTACTTACTAACTTCAGCTGCTGGGTTTTTATTTCAGAGGATGGTGAAATCACAGCCTATGAATTCACAAGAACGTGGGACCACCTTGATCGATATTTCAACTCCAACAATAACGGAAATGTTAAGAAATAGTCATTTATGATTATATGATTTGTGCTGTATCTGTATATGAAAAAATAAACAAAACAAATGAAACTGTGTATATATTTTGTTTGCCTACTTTTACACGTTGTCTTCAAGGACAGGTTGCCTTACGGAATGTGAGAAATATAAAACTAAAAACTTCTAAGAAGAAACTTTGCTTTTATCTTAGACCATTACTTCTAAGCTGCATTCACTAAGGTCTATCAATATCTCAAGTTTTAAAAAAAAATTATGGAAGGTGCTAAATCTTTACAAAAACAAATTATTCGTTATCCACATATAGTGTAACAAATATAAATAAACCATGTTGTTGTCTTTTTACATACGGTCAGAAATAAAAGCAAAGCATGTTTTATTTGGATTCCGGAATTTTGCATAAAATAACACATTTCAGTAAACAATTTTTTATTCAGTTTTCTCTTTATTTTAACGATAATAATAACAATGATAGCAAACAACATTTAAATTATGTGTTTCACATATACATTTAGTAACAAAGACTAAATATATTTTAAATTGTACGGTTTCCACATGTAGAAACAAATATAAGCAACCCAATTTCTTAATTATTAAGTTTCGTTTTTTGATAAATCTAATAGCACATCTTGCATGATGTTTCTGTCCAGTCGGGTTCTAAATTTATATACAAACAGTTTTCTAAATTTGCAAACCATCTGATTTAATAATTCACTTGCAACAAAAAGTTATAGGCATCTTTTTGTAAAGAATTCAGCTTCACTTTCAGTTAAAAAAATAAATAAAATGAAAAATAAATAAATGAAAAAACAAGCAAACAGACAAAATATTATTGCAAAAATCCCTTTTTATTTCCTGGTCAGTATTTTGAGATTTGGATACTTTATTGCGTTTTAAATGCAAACGAATGCATTATTCTCTTGTTTATTCGCTGTACTTTTAAGACAAAGTGCTTAATTGTGTGTAAAAGAATAATTGTGACTGAGTTTGACATGTGACGTTTTCAACATTGTTAATAATGCATTTTACAATGTCACCGAGCATACTTCACTTAAATTAACATTCAATCTTGTCACAATAGAAAACATTTTCATTAATCTTGTCAGTCAAATTTTCACGTGCAAAACAACAGTTAATTTCCAAGTGTCAGTTTAGAACACAATCAAGCGTATTGCATCTAAATTTGTGATATGTATTACTTTCTTTCGTATTTACTGACAATCACTTTAATGATTTTCTTATAGTTATATTGCGTTTTACTTATAGGTATTTTTTACTAATAATTATATCGTGTTTTACTTGTAGTCATTTTGAACAAATTTCACAATCTGGTATAAAGATGCTTTTCAAAATTTTTATACCTCAATATATCCTTCAACGGCCTGTGCATCCCATAGACCTATTATGTATATTGATTGAACACCACCCTTCTAGGAGATTTTCCCCGGGGAATATTTCTTATATCACCCTGGGGCACATAACTCTTGCAAAACTCCATATTCAGCAATTTTTTAAGTTTAACTAGTCTTTGTTACAATAGTAACATAGTTTAAAATTCATAGTTTTAAATTTGATATTTAAAGAAATATAAATGTATATTGTGTCTCAACTTCATATAGATGTATAAAATCATTTTTGAGATGTTTTTGTTAGGTTTATTGTTTTAAGCAAAATGGTGATGTGTATTCTATTCATTTCCTTGACTGCGTATTTTATAAATATTGTAGTTGTAGGTCTTTCGGTATAATAAAGTAAATAACACATGGCTGTCGGGTTGAAAGAGGAATGTCAACCCTTGAACTGAACTCGGCTGCGCCTCAGTGTAATATACCAGTTCTCGGGTTCACAATAGCCTCTATCACCCCGACAACCATGTGTTATTTATATAATATACCATTGAGCATGCCATAACAGCGTTTATTGACAATTCAATAACTTTTCCATATATGAATATATTCATATTTAAAGACATTTAAAGATTGGCAAATATTTAACGGGAGATAACTTATTTGCCGTGAAAAGACAAGTAAATTCACGAATGTAAACATTTTTTCCCATGTTTTCGTGTCTCCTTTTCGCATTAATTATTTTTTTGTCGTTGGTCGTAAGTTTACTTAAAATGTGATATTTGTTATAAAAATATAGCAGCTAAAAAAAACAACAGAACAGTTGAATACTCATTTCCAAAACTTCTAAGTTAAACTATGGAATACATTTTTGTCTAAATAATACTCATTTCCAAACTTTGGAATACATTGTCGGTTAAAGTGCACATGACCTAAATCTGGATATCATAATATACATGAACAGTTCGTTGATCTGTAAATATATGTATGACCTATAAATTTATCATATTATGTCACTTTTTTTTGCTTTTTAGCTGACATTGAGAGCTCCTGTACCATTAAAAATTACATTTTATTTAGCCTCTCTGCATATATTAAATAAGTATTAATCATTAGTCACGTGACAAGGAAAAATATCACCAAATTGCGACAGTTATATGTTTCCAAACAATTAACCCTACACATCATAATTTTACAGGTTTTATGATATAATAATTGGCTCTAACGCTAAACATTAATTAAAACACGGATGGCAGTTTTAAAAGGGAAAGGGAAATAAAAAATGATATTTATATTAAAAGACTTATAGTTATATTTACTGTTTATCCCACTGAAGTATATACGTTTTTAACCCCATTTAAAAAAACACAACAAAAAACACTCTTATAAATGCATTATACATAGATATAATTGACAATATAGGCATGTCAGTCTTGTTTAAAATGATTGAATTATTGAAGATAAGACAGCGATAAACACTTTGTGTACTTTTATAGAGAATGCACTTAAAACAATATCAATAACACTTTATGCAAATTGAAAGATTGTTTCATATTTTCTGTTTGTATATCTTTCACTTCGTCTAGATTTCTTACTTATCAAGACTATATTTATGCGAGATTAACAAAAATAAACAATGATATTGTACATTTCATGAATTTTGACCATTTGATGATGGTCATAAATGTTTGTATAGTATAGGAGTGATTTTGGCTCATTTCTAAAATTGATCAAGTATATGTTCTGTTCTACCATCAGTTAGCTCTGCCTATCATAAAATTGCAACAAAATATGATAAACAATTAAAGCACTTATATAATTTTATAATTGTACGGCGTAAGCTTAGACACATTTCCTAAATTATTTCGAACTTACAGAAAGAGCCTATATTATAAAGTATGAAAGTTGTACCAAGCATATGATAAATTTTCATTCAAATCTATATGGTACATCAAAACGAATGATTCAGAACCAGCTGACTCATGAATGATCATGAGATCATCTGTGCACAAAAAAATGATAAAGCATAAATTTTCCCACCCATTATCTGTAGCCGACACTTTGTACAGAAAGATTTCTTGAATATCAAACAAGATTATTCAAGTAAAAAAACGAAAAGAAAATATTTGAATGAATGAAGCTACCTACCTTTTTTTTGAATTTTCAATTTAGTTACAATAACACTCAGTTTGAATATTTTAGAAAAACACGGGCAAATCAAATATGCAAACATATAAAAGAAATAGGTAATTTTGATACCTGTGTATTGAACAATAATAACGATAATAAAACATATAATAAAGGACAACAATTATAGATGTTTGTTTGCTGATATTTCGTATATTATATACCTAATTTTCAATTTTAGATTTTAGTTTATTGTGAATGAATATATAGTATCGTTTGATTGAAAAAAAGTAATTGAATCGCGTAAACCGGGGAAAGTCATTGGTATTGTCCACTGCACTGAATAGCCTTTTACTCTGACAAGTCAAATGACAAATATCTTACAAACATTGTACTCGTACATCCGGTTTAGGCCGATATTTCTGTCATTATATCATAGAAAAAGATTATTATAATATAATCTTGTCCTTTTTTGCTCAGTAAATTAGAAAGTTTTATACAAAATGTAACTAAAATTTAGAAATATATTGTCCTTTAGACTGGGTGTTTGAATAAATAAGAATCATGACAGTGATGTTTATTGCATTTATAAATTTAATGTATTTACATATTATAACAAAAAGAGAAATGTTTTCTTGACTTTAAAATGAATTGAATTACGTTGTATGCGTTTTAAATGCTTCATGTTATAAAACCGACAAATTTTAATGCCGCTTAAGGAATTAAATGTCTTATTTTTGCTTATTCCTGTGTTTTTAAACCTGTCACAATAAATCCAACTTGAAGCACGATAATGTATCAAAGACAGTGAAAGACATGGGTCAAAGTTTACCTGCATATATCAAACATTAAAATTGTCAAATCTAAATGAAGACGGCAACATTGTCAGGAAATATATTGCAATACACGTAGTGGTTTTATCCGTGCACAAACACAATGGTAAGAGTTATTTTGTACATCAATCTATTTCATTTACAATTATTTCTCATTATTTCTCTATTTATTATTGACAGTATCTTGATAAAGCTGTTATAAATTTATTTTAAATTTTAAAGCAATTGTGAAAAGCAAAGATTTAAATGTAATTACTTAAAAACGTTGCTGACGGAAGAAACAAGTTCAAAGTTTCTTGTCAACAATCTAATTCATTTATTCTAGAATTATAATCTTTTAATGGCACAGTATACCTTAGAAACGAATAAATTGTTATTTCTTTAAGAAGGGCAAACATGAACTTCATAACGTTAAAAAATGGTAAAAAGGCATTTTGATGTTTATTACCTTAAGACAGTAGCACTGAATGTTAAATTGTTAGTCACAAAACTACCGAAATGTAAACAAAGAAGTATTTTGACTTTCATTTAAAATACCATATCACTATTTGTGTACTAATTGCCAAAAAGAAACGGAATAAAAAGATGTTTCTGGTAATTGGCCAACGAATAGCCGTTTGGAAACAAATAAATAAAAGTTAACCCACATATAAAATATTTCGAAGAATAAATACAGTGTCATTTCTGAAGCGTATTGAACCTTTAAGATGCTTAGCAAAACTTATACATAAATATAGAATTACATGCATGTAATTATCAATTGTGGAGCCAAATAGTCGCAAAAAGATCACATATTACAAATAGAAAAGAAAGACTGAATAATTATGCAAACAAATGTGAGCTATTTATTCTTATATGTCATATAGAGGTTATATAAGTACATATGCACTACTTGTCCCTCATCGCTATGGGTTCGAATCCCGACAGGGACTTTGGATTCTTTCATGTTAGGAAGCTTTTCAGCTAGCTTACGAATGTCGGTGGTTCAACTCAGGTTCCTATTCGTGCACAGAAGGACACCTGAGCTATCATCCACTAGTAAAGCTGGAAAGTCGCCATATGACAATCAACAATAAATGAGCCGAGCCATGACAAAACCAACATCATAATGGGTTTGCGACCAGCATGGATCCAGACCAGCCTGCGCATCCGCGCAGTCTGATCAGGATCCATGCTGTTCGCTATCAGTTTCTTTATCTGTTATAGGGTTTGTAAGCGAAGAGCATGGATCCTGATCAGACTGCGCGGATGCGCAGGCTGGTGTGGATCCATGCTGGTCGCAAACCCATTATGTTGGTTTTGTCGAGACGCGACTCAAATTGCATAACATGACATGAGAAGTGTTTCTTGTAGCCGTTAATAAAATACCCATTTTGTAGACACTGAAATTGAATTATAGCATATTGATATCAATGATTTTTAAAGAAGAACAACTTCTATTTAAAGTGTCCTTTTTACCTGTTTTTCGTTTGACTTTATAAATTTTGTAATCATTCACAAATTAACCTAAAACTATCCTCATTCCTGTACATTTTTTAGAACTATCCTTAACATTTTATTTTATAGTGACAAAACTTTCCCTTACATATTATCATAGAGCTATCCTTAAAATTCTATTTTAGAATGGTAAGAACTATCCTTTAATTTTTTTTAGAATGGTTAGAACTGTCCTTTACATTTTACTTTAGAATGGCCAATGATATTCATCGATTTCAGTTTTTAATTTTAAAATTCTTCTTATGTTCAGTCCTTTCCTGTTAATGTCAAGTAACGTAAGAAAGTCCGGGGATAATTTGTATGAATTATGTATCAAAAAACCAAGTGAACTGAATTTCTTTAATGACATTAACTCATTAAAGAATATATGTTTTTGTATGTTAACAATATGTTGCAGTTACTATTCAGAAAACTTATCACATCAAAAATTACATTTCAGATCTCGGTTGTAACGCTCGCGTGCCTAATTGCAGTAGTCTGGTAAGTCGTACACATGCATAATTGTGTATTTACATATTAATTAGAGAAAATATGTGTTTTTAATTAATATAAATTTTATTATGTCATTTAACAAAACGTACTTTTAATATCAAGACAGACAGTTATGAGTTATAAATGCAAATAAAGCGATTCATAGTTTATGAAAACAAAACATAACATGCAGGATACGAAACAAGAAGACAGAGATTTCATTATATTAACGATTATCATAATTTATGATGAAATTTATTGCTTTCCCGTTATGTGATGGAATTTGACATTTTCCTGAGTTGACAGGTGACCAAACATCCTTTTTGCAAGGTTTTAATTAAATGCTTTTTAATTTGTATACTTACCATTACATTTTCACTGATACGCACGCCCCTTTTACTCGTAAAAGCCATGTACAAAGTGTCTAGGCAACAATTTGACTAGTCTTTAATATAATACATCATTTTCAGACAAAGATAAAAACGTCATTTTCTTAGAGAAATTATGTCAATTAAAGACATTTTAAGACATTAATTGTTTCAGTTGTCAGTGCCCGACGACAGATCAAGGACAGATCAGTAAGGTCTTTAAAGCATACGACATTGATGGTAACAATAAAATCTCAAGAGTTGAAGGAACCATGGTCTTCAGGGATGCAGATTTAAATCGTAAGATAATACAATAAATGAAGAACATTCGTTAGACAAATGAATTTTGTGCACCATGTTGCTTTTTTCTTAAAAGTAACCTGAGCCGCGTCATGACAAAACCAACATGCATATGCGACCAGCATTGATCCAGAATAGCCTGCGCATCCGCGCAGTCTGTTCAGGATCCATGCTGTTTGCTATCAGTTTCTCTACTTGTTATAGGATTCATGGATCCTAATCAGACTGAGCGGATGCGCAGGCTGGTCTAGATCCATGCTGGTCGCAAACGCACTATGTTGGTTTTGTCATGGCGCAGCTCAGTTTTTTTATGTTTTATTTTAAGAAATAAGATGTATGACTACAAGTTAGTTTAAATTTTAAAACAAAAATAACATCAGTAATAATGTCATATTGACAATGTACATGTATCTGTATTTTAAATTGATTAGTTATTAAAAATTACATGTATTGATTTAGGATGAATAAATACAAGTATTTTAACTAGATAAACATAAAGAGAAACGTTTTTGTCGTCTGCTAACGGAACATCAAATTAATATTTTTGATAGACATACGAAGTCATGGTAATAAACAGTATATAAATCATATCAAATCAATGACTGTCACATAATGACTGTCACATAATGACTGTCACATAATGACTGACACATTTAAAAATGTATGTATCAAACAAATTAACGTAAAAATATCAAAATATTAAGAGTGTAAATAAATTTGAATTCTTAAATTACTTCAATGTTTGTCAGTCATCTTTAAACATGTACAATTTTACTCTCTATAAAATATATAACGCGAAGGGTTCATTTATATCTTAATGTAGACACGGAAAATAATGATGACTATTTCTATAGAATAGTCTCTGTTATTTGGGGAACAACTTATACCCTGCCCTGGTTATGACGTAGGTACTGTATCTACGTCATATCCTTTTAACGCTGGCGTCGAATATTGTAACAAGGAAGAAATGAGTTGTTGAAAAAAATGGAAAAAATCGCTGATCAAAACAGCAATCGATAGTAATATCTTCTAGATATGAATCGATAAGACGTCGATGATTTTCTGTGTGCCCTATAAGCAGCAATTTTGTTGATATTTTCCACGATTGAAGCGGATTTGTTCTTGATGTCTTTGGTGGGAACATGGAACACTGAATCAAGCAGGATATTATATGGACAGAGAAGTTTTCTTATTCAATTTCAGATTTAGATATTCAACAGATTGTTGTCGAGAACAGTTTAAATTTAAATTATTTATATTCATTGTTTTGTGAATTGTACTTTGTCTAGCTTTACTGGTTTGGGAGATAAACTCGGCCGAAAATCGGTGTTTTGGGGGCATATTTCATTTATTTGTGTACGTATTCTGATGAATCTTGCACCATAATAAACTTCAGCTCTTCGATATTCCGGTATCACCATAAAAGTTATATTTAGAAAAAAGACGGGTAATTTTGAGAGGCCCTGGAAGAGGTACGTAAAAAGCACATTTTTAACACGCGCGAGTAGATAATTTCGGCTCTTTGTTTTTCTTCTTAAATCATTTTAATGAGTAAATTAAAACGTAGAAAAACATATTTAGACATTTTATTATTCCTTTGCTTTTCATATATGTCAAATAAAAACATATTTTTTATCAGAAATTTTCAATAAGGACTGTTACTTTTATACAATGTTATGTAAAAAAAAAACCAAAAAACTCGGATACTTTTTTTGTAAAAAGACATGCATTTTCATTTATTAACATACGAAATATGTACTTTTAGAATTAGTGATTCAAATGTATTTTGGCTTGGGTAACTTCGTAATTTAACAGAGTGAAGAAGAAATTAATTTAGTGGTATTCAACCTACACAATAACATATAAAGGAGCATTTAACATCAGTTTTTCAATCCATTGCACTAAAGATTACATTTTTACTTTTTCTGAGTTTGCAAGACAAAATTGAGTCTAAATTCATCTACAAAATGTATCCGTGAACATCGTCTGCTTTACCGGTAGTCGGTCAATATATAAAAGTACCCATGTGCAGGCCTCAACATGAGCATCTGCTGCACATGCGCACAACAATCGGATTCCCGTAATTTTTATAGGCATGTTTTGTAAACAAACACGTAAAAGTCTGTGTTATTTTTTTAATATCTTACCAAACTTGACAAATTTTCCAGATATTGTCGAATTCCAGCGATAGTATGAGATGGTGAGCTTAATTAGATTAAAAATTCCGATTGGTCGATTTAATTATAAAAAGCCGAGTTTATCAACCAGCCGAAGTTATCTCCCCAACCAGTATGCTGACTGCTGTCGTAAATTGACAATTTTATTATGACGATCCATGGATCTACTCTCACCCACGGCTATTCATTTAGCTATATCTGTATTTCGCTATAATGTTAAATCATTTGCGGTGTATTAGTTTAATACTGATCAGATGGTAACGTCACTAACGATGATGATTGTAATGGAAACCTTTAAAAAAAAATATGATAGATCTACATAAATAATACGATGATCTAGCTAGGTCAGTAGGTGCACTTTGCTATTTTCAATGGCGTTAAGAATGGTGGAAGCAAGAAATTTTTGTTAACTTGTGCTAATTGTCCTGAATTAGGAAAAATGTGTCTATTAATCTAACAGGTTCTTAATAAATCAGTTATTATTAGCTAATCAGTTTTAAGCTATATTTTATTTGCTTTTAAATCTTCAAAATAGATCTATAATTTTCTTTTTGCTGGACGAGATTGGAAGAATGTGATTAAAGACAATACACTACTGGTCTGTATGGGAAATGTGGAAATAAATGCGATGGTGATCTCAATCATCAGCAGCGTCTTGTGCGGACTCCTGACATTTGATGAATTGTTGTATGAGATAAATTGGTGTCTGATGTTAGTAGAGCTAGTAGTTTAGTTCCTTACAGTATTAGGTGAGGTATTTCCTGTTTAAATGTTTATTTTATACATTATTTTACAATGTGAAACCTAGGTTTAGATCTACAAGTTGAACAAATTAATTACTCAGTTATATTTCAGTATTTGTTATCATAGATGTGAATACATTGCCTTATTTTAGGGCCTATTGTTTTCATGGTAAAATTAAGTATGCATAATAAGCAAATTATGTTGGATAAGAAGGGGTTAAAATCACATTAAATAGAAATTGATAAATTAATAATGCACAAATAATTAAAAGATGCAGACTTCAATGCAACATCAGTCACATGAGTAAGATATTAGATAATAATAATTATAGTAAATTAATAAACATTATATAAAAATAAAATAATAAAAATAAATTAATAGTAATAATAATAATAATGAATTGATAATAATAATAAATTATTAATGATGATGATAATAATAATAATAAATTAGTAATAATAATAATGAATTGATAATAGTAATAATAATAAAAATAATGATGATGTGATCTAATGATAATAATAAGACAATCATGAATTCATAATTATAATAATAATAATAATAATAATAATAAATTATTGATAATAATAAATTAATAATAATAATAATAATTTTAAATAGACTATGTTGTTTATAATTCATGGTGTAGGCTACATTACAGTACAGATTTATAACAAATTATATTTGTCACACAATTTATTGCAATTTTGAGTTGACAAGTTGTAGTTCACTTTTCATTATAAAATTTATTTTCCATTGCACCTTTTATTTACTTTACACAACATAAAAAGATAAATATTTTGATATAATAAATGGATAGCTAATTTATTAAATGATTGTGAAACTCTTTTGATGATTTAGTCATAGTGAACACCATCCAAATATAAAACTTAAAATTTGAAAGTATATCATTTACTTTTTATTTTTTCTTATAGTTTGACAATAGATCTACACATAATTAAACTTAAAACTTTAATTTAGAGGGTAGAAGTTTTAAATTTAGAGGTTAAAAGTTTTCCATTTCTTTAGGATTTCTTGTAATCTCATGCTAATATGATAGGTACTCATTCCCCTAAACTAGTGATAAAAGTGAACACGCTTCTTAAATTTTAGTGTTAAACACTGTTGATAATATTTGTACAAAATCATGCATTCAACGTTTAACTTTTCTTTGTTGAATGTTGTTCAAAGGAAAATCATTCAAGACAATTTTCTCTTGGCTTTAGTATAATACCCAACTTTGGTTGAATTGCAAGACCAATTTTTATGTAAACTAATAGAGAATGTGAGGTTTGATATTTAAAAAGTTAATATAAATCGTCTTACTTTAATTTCCGTGTTGAAACAATATTTTATTGTGAAAAGTACACCCTATTAAATTTCAAAATAACATGGTTATGATATTAAAATGACATTGTGCCTATTTTGTCATGGTCAAGTTATGCTGAATTGACTTTTAAGTTTATGTTTCAAAATATTGACTGAAAAAAGGTTATTGACCTACAGCTGATATTTTAAAATGTTAAGGATAAAATATAAGTATGCCTAAAATATAAAAAGACTGTCCCAAACTTTTTATAAATTGAACATTTTGGGTAATTTCCAATGGCATTGATTTATCGTTCATAAATGGAAAGTACATAATCATTATAAAAATTGAAAGGAATTATGGCAAGATTTAAACTTATTTGACTTTCACCTGTTCACTCATTATAATTAAAGCCTTGGATGGGCATTATGCATTATGTCAAAAATATCTATTACATACTGTTTAATACTGTTTACATTCTATTAGTCTCAATTAAATGTACAAATATTTTTATAATTTTGTAATAAATTGATAAACTCTTGACATTTATAAACTTCGTTGATTTCTGTCTGGATTATTTTATTAACAATAAACATAATAAGGCACATAAAAAACACTAACTTTACAATGTTTAAATAAAATGATGCAAATACTTTGGCAATGTTGTAAGGTTTCACTTTGTTCAAAACTTAAATTACCATATTATTAGGCTATTATTGTTTTTCAGCAGCTACTTAATTTGATAATCAAAAATGTCTTGGCTGAAAATCAGCAAATGCATTCTGTATTGCAGCTAGATTAATGAATGTGGCTTTCAATTAAAATAAAATGTAAATGCATGTGTATTATTATAATCAATGTTTATTTAAGCCTATTAATTGTTTGAATTGACTAATAACCAATACAGAATCAAACAACTTTTAACTGACAGTATAGCTGGATGCTGCAAACTGACCAGTGAAAGAATATTTTGTGTAATTGCTGATAACACTGGCAGTAGAATTTATGTCCGACAAAAAGCTTAAACCATTATTCTTGGAGTTTTGGAATTTAGTATGTTTTTGGCCAATAAAGATATTTTATTAGTAAATATTCCATGAAATCTATTAATTGTTTCAAATCTTTTTACAGCTCAGTTAAGTATATTAGTATAAGTACCTATTTTAAATAAGCGCTTCACACAGGTGTAAGAAAGACAATCCAGGACTGACCAGGATGGGTGGTGTGAAATGCTGCAAATTGAAAAATATAGCTCGAACCTATGTTCAATTGTGGCAACCTATGTACAATTGTGGGGTAAAAAATTACACGTTTTAATATTGCATGCTATTCTAATGACAATAGGTGCTAAGCATACTAAAATGTAATACAAGTGTTCTGCCTTGTCGACGATATGATGCATTAAATTGTTGCTAGTTTTCTTTACCGCATGGAGTGTAAGTGTTTACATCATGCGATTAAAAAACAAATGGAAAACCTGATTAATGTAACATTATTAAACATGTTGGTTGAATTGGAAGGATTCGAACCCATGGAATGCAATTGGAAAATATCTGCTCTCAGAGTCATGCAGGTCTCACGATCTTGATGGTCACTATTGTATTGGGCATATGTTTTCGGCGCGTTGGTTGGTGGCTGCCCCCGGGGGACCCTCGCCCACTTTGCGACCCTCCAACCCTTCAGAACCATAATATTGAAAATTGGGAAAAAACGTTGGGGTTATGGAGTTCAATTATTATTAAGATGAGTGCTGAAAAATGTGCAGCCAGTTGCATACCTTTACTAAATATGTATATATATAAATCAATTTTTTATTTTTTGTGGGAAATGAAGGTAATTGAATTAAAAGCATATACCAAATATTAAAACATGTTTCAAATGAAAAATACTGCAGTTTAAATGGTTTTGGGGGGTGGGAGGGTTGTGGGGTGGGTGGCTGATCAGCGCGCCGAACACCTATGGCATAGAGTGGTTCAGGAAAGGTATATTTGAAAAGTTGATGTGTTGATGCATAATTTATAGTTCAGTTGATTGAATGCACTTATTGTATACATGTATCTAGCACATATTTGAAGCAGTTTGAACGTTATTGTTAAATTGATATCTCAAAAACATGCACTGTCAAATGTATATACATTTAGCTAGCACATATTTGGAGCAGTTTGAATGCTTTTGCTTAATTCATGTCAAGAGAAATGGCACTGCACTCGAGATCTTGATGGTTACTACCCAAATTATTGTGTTTCAGATAGTGTCATATTTGATTTATGAGTGCTAGTATATGCATATTTGTTGGAATGCTGCTTTATTTGCTAAGTTGAATTACCTACATGGCAGTGTTGTATTATAAATCATAGAATGGCCGGGCACGACTAATTTTTTTTTTAACTATTCAATTCGCCGGAGCCAATAATAGTATGATATTGGCGAAGCCAATATTGTATGTTATTGGCGGAGCCTTCGACTGGAAAACGGGAAATCTCCCGTTCACCATCCGAAGTCTAGTGGCGGCCGGCGAATAGACATTTTGTGATACTGGCGATACTGGTTTCTGCTTCCCAGAACCAATTTCGCGCAACAGTGTCAATGCTGTGTTGTTGCTCATATACATTTGTGAAAATTGACTTATTTTGTGAATGAAGAATTGAAAGACTAGTATTGCTTTTGATCAATTATTTTCTAGAAACATACTGTTCCAAAAAGCTATACAGTTTGTTCCATTTGCTTGTTTTGATTTTGTGTCATTTGTTTGTTTTTGCTATGGATGCCCTAACAGGGTTTTGTATGCCCGGTATCCAAACCTTTTGGCTTTTATTAATGGAGTCGTGCCCATAAAATGCCGAAGATAAACTAAGACATTACTCAGTGAGATAAATTACATATGCCACTATGTATGACTATAAAATAAAAATTAGTTAAAGTATGATATTGTTTTGTTGTTGTCCCTAATAATGATGACTATTTCTATAGAATAGTCTCTGTTATTTGGGGAACAACTTATACCCTGCCCTGGTTATGACGTAGGTACTGTATCTACGTCATATCCTTTAACGCTGGCGTCGAATATTGTAACAAGGAAGAAATGAGTTGTTGAAAAAACCCACCCGCCCTCCTTGTCAATTATGAGTGTGAAGTGTCAAAGATTTGAGCTTAAATTTAATACTAGTGTCATGCTTGTTTTGTTGTTTCTGTCCTCTTTTGATATGTTTTCAGATTAGCCAACATAAGCGACGTTTTTCAAGACAGCTAGCCCTACTAAATACCACGGAAGAGGTTTCTTTTAGGAAAACTGCTTGGGCCAAAACCAGCAGCAGAGAGAATTCGACAACGGTGCGACTCCAGAGATGTGTTCTATGAACTTTCAAATACTAGATTTCACATGTTGTGTCTGCTAAATTTGCATTTTGCGGCCGGCGAATAGACATTTTGTGATACTGGCGATACTGGTTTCTGCTTCCCAGAACCAATTTCGCGCAACAGTGTCAATGCTGTGTTGTTGCTCATATACATTTGTGAAAATTGACTATTTTGTGAATGAAGAATTGAAAGACTAGTATTGCTTTGATCAATTATTTTCTAGAACATACTGTTCCAAAAAGCTATACAGTTTGTTCCATTTGCTTGTTTTGATTTTGTGTCATTTGTTTGTTTTGCTATGGATGCCCTAACAGGGTTTTGTATGCCCGGTATCCAAACCTTTTGGCTTTTATTAATGGAGTCGTGCCCATAAAATGCCAAAGATAAACTAAGACATTACTCAGTGAGATAAATTACATATGCCACTATGTATGACTATAAAATAAAATTAGTTAAAGTATGATATTGTTTTGTTGTTGTCCCTAATAACAAACAAATTATGCATTTAACCACTTGTACCACAATTAAATAACTGAGTGACGAATTAATGTTTCTTTGTATTATTAACCATCGAATGCTAAGAAGATTTCATTTTTCATTATAACCATGGAATGCTTAGATCACTATACTGAAATATTTCAATGCAGGTGATGGGGCACTAGACAACAACGAATTTTCCTCGGAATGGGCGTTCTACCACAATGATTATTACTCGCCTTTCTTCAACGTAGCCGACAGAAATCATAACGGAAGAATTGAATTCGTTGAGGGAAATCAGGGATTTGACCATTTTGATAAAAATGGTAAACATCCAAACACCTTTTTGTATAGAAATGTGTTTTATTTATTCTAAGTGTGTTTATTTATATATTTATTCTAAGTGTGTATGGAACTTTTAGTCCATCCGTCCGTAAACAATAAGTTTCTGCATTATACATATCCAATTACTTTATCAATAACTGGTATCAACTTTGGTATACAGGTGTATAATATTTGTTTGCTTTGGTTTGTTGTTGTTGTTGTTGTTGTGTTCTTCTTCTTTTTGTTTTGTTTTGTTTTGTTTTTTTAAAGTTTTCCTTATTATTTGATTATTTTCGTCTTTATAAGCATTTACGTTACACTTTCAAAATGTGATTTTACAAATTATCATTTTAAAATCCAATTACTGATCTGCAATGGATACGTGAAGTTTAACACAGTTAAATGGTTAATGTATTTTCTTTTGAAGGAGATAATGAAATTTCGTCATGGGAGTTTACCCAAACATGGATGGAAACAGTACGACCTAGCTCTAGACCGATTGATTTCTGAAGATAAAAAAATGACCATGGATAGAAAAAATATAAAGAAACATGGTGTTACAATATTGAAATATTTTGTTTCATACGTGTAAATAAAATACGGAAAAGCATAAAGTAGTGTTTAGTGTTCCTAAATTTCAAATATTCGAGTATTACTTTTGTAAGAAAACAAGGCCGGTATTTTTATCATAGGCAGACACAGTACATATTTCATTACAATTTGTATTAAATATATGAAGATAAGCATATTAAATTCTAAATTAAGTCTCTAAATTTGCATCACGATGGCCTTGACTTTCTGATTTCACCATACATATCCAGTAACGTAGGAATGTGCAAATATTGTAAAAGTCACGCCAAATCTGTGCAATGCTATTTCCAAAACAATAATACAGAAAGTAAACGAACCAAAATAGTTTATTCTAAATCAAATTTAAAGAAATGAATTAGCGCAACGACATTATACTTTAACAAGCATTACATTTTTTTAGGGATATGTTTATTTTTTTTAGATCATTCGTGAAAGAAGATGTTTTAAATGTGTTAAATGTACATATTTATTTGACGAAACATAAAAGTCTCCTTCAAAACGGTTATCAGGTTGACTTTCTCACGAATTATCTAAAGAAATAAACATAGTCATTGAGTCAGTCTGTGAGTTGTGTCCTGTGAGTCAGCCTGTGAGTAATGCCCTGTAAGTAAGTGTGTGAGTTGTTCCTGCGAGTCAGTGTGTTAGTTGTGTCTGTGAGTCAGTGTGTGAGTTGTGTCCTGTCAGTTAGTGTGTTAGTTGTGTCCTGTGAGTCAGTGTGTGAGTTGAGTCCTGTCAGTCAGTGTGTGAGTTGTGTCCTGTCAGTCAATGTGTGAGTTGTGTCATGTGAGTCAGTCTGAGAGTTGTGTACCGTGAGTCAGTGTGTGAGTTGTGTCCTGTGAGTCAGTGTGTTAGTTGTGTCCTGTGAGTCAGTGTGTGAGTTGTGTCAAGTGAGTCAGTGTGTGAGTTGTGTCCTGTGAGTCAGTGTGTGAGTTGTGTCCTGTGAGTTGTGTGTTATTGTGACCTGTCAGTCAGTTGTGTTAGTTGTGACCTGTCAGTCAGTGTGTGAGTTGTGTCCGTTGAGTCAGTGTGTGAGTTTGTCCTATGTGTGTGTGTTGTGACCTGTGAGTCAGTGTGTTAATTGTGACCTGTCAGTCAGTGTGTTAGTTGTGACCTGTCAGTCAGTGTGTTAGTTGTGACCTGTCAGTCAGTGTGTTAGTTGTGACCTATCAGTAAGTGTGTGAGTTGTGTCCTGTGAGTCAGTGTGAAAGTTGTGTCCTGTGAGTTAGTGTGCTAGTTGTGACCTGTCAGTCAGTGTGTTAGTTGTGACCTCTCAGTCAGTGTGTTAGTTGTGACCTATCAGTAAGTGTGTGAGTTGTGTCCTGTGAGTCAGTGTGTTAGTTGTGTTAGTTGTGTCCTGTGCGTCAATGTGTGAGTTGTATCCTGTGAGTCAGTGTGTGAGTTGTGTCCTGTGAGTCAGTGTGTGAGTTGTGTCCTAGGTCTGTGAGTCAGTGTCCTGTGAATTGTGTGTTAGTTGTGAGTCAAGTGTGTGAGTTGTGTCCTGTGAGTCAGAATGTGAGTTGTGTCCTGTGAGTTAGTGTGTTAGTTGTGATCTGTCAGTCAGTGTGTTAGTTGTGACCTGTCAGTAAGTGTGTGAGTTGTGTCCTGTGAGTCAGTGTGTGAGTTGTGTCCTATGTGTGTGTGTAAGTTGTGTCCTGTGAGTCAGTGTGTTAGTTGTGACCTGTCAGTCAGTGTGTTAGTTGTGTCCTGTGAGTGTGTGTGAGTTGTGTCCTGCGAGTCAGTGTGTGAGTTGTGTCCTGTGAGTTAGGTGTATTAGTTGTGCCTGTTAGTCAGTGTGTGTGTTGTGTCCTGCAAGCCAGTGTGTGAGTTGTGTTAGTTGTGTCCTGTCAGTCAGTGTGTTAGTTGTATCCTGTGAGTCAGTGTGTGTGTTGTGTCCTGTGAATCAGTGTGTTTGTTAGGTCCTGTGAGTCAGTGTGTGAATTGTGTCCTGTGAGTCAGTGTGTTAGTTGTGACCTATCAGTTAGTGTGTTAGTTGTGTCCTGTCAGTCAGTGTTGTTAGTTGTATCCTGTGAGTCAGTGTGTGTTGTGTCCTGTGAGTCAGTGTGTTTGTTAGGCCCTGTGAGTCAGTGTGTGAAAGTTGTGTCCTGTCAGTCAGTGTGTTAGTTGTGACCTATCAGTTAGTGTGTTATTTGTGTCCTGTGAGTCAGTGTGTTAGTTGTGACCTGTCAGTCAGTGTGTTAGTTGTGTCCTGTGAGTCAGTGTGTGAGTTGTGTCCTGTGAGTCAGTGTGTGAGTTGTGACCTGTCAGTCAGTGTGTGAGTTGTGTCCTGTGAGTCAGTGTGTTAGTTGTGTCCTGTGAGTCAGTGTGTGAGTTGTGACCTGTCAGTCAGTGTGTTAGTTGTGTCATGTGAGTCAGTGTGTAAGTTGTTTCTGTGAGCCAGTGTGTGAGTTGTGTCCTGTCAGTCAGTGTGTTAGTTGTGTCCTGTCAGTCAGTGCGTGAGTTGTGACCTGTCAGTAAGTGTGTGAGTTGTGACCTGTCAGTAAGTGTGTGAGTTGTGACCTATCAGTTAGTGTGTGTGTGTTGTGTCCTGTCAGTCAGTGTGTTAGTTTTGACCTGTGAGTCAGTGTGTGAGTTGTGACCTGTCAGTCAGTGTTTGAGTTGTGTCAAGTGAGTCAGTGTGTGAGTTGTGACCTGTCAGTATGTGTGTGAGTTGTGTCCTGTCAGTAAGTGTGTGAGTTGTGACCTGTCAGTAAGTGTGTTGAGTTGTGACCTGTCAGTCAGTGTGTGACTTGTGTCCTGTGAGTCATTGTGTGTATGGTGTCCTGTGAGTCAGTGTGTGAGTTGTGTTCTGTGAGTCAATGTGTGAGTTGTGACCTGTGACTCAGTGTGTGAGTTGTGTCCTGACAGTCAGTTGTGTTAGTTGTGACCTGTCAGTCAGTGTGTGAGTTGTGTCCTGTCAGTCAGTGTGTGAGTTGTGTCCTGTCAGTCAGTGTGTGTGTTGTGTCCTGTCAGTCAGTGTGTTAGTTGTGACCTGTCAGTCAGTGTGTTAGTTGTGACCTGTGAGTCAGTGTGTTAGTTGTGTCCTGTGAGTCAGTGTGTGAGTTGTGTCCTGTCAGTCAGTGTGTGAGTTGTGTCCTGTCAGTCAGTGTGTGAGTTGTGTCCTGTGAGTCAGTGTGTGAGTTGTGTCCTGTGAGTCAGTGTGTGAGTTGTGTCCTGTCAGTCAGTGTGTGAGTTGTGTCCTGTGAGTCAGTGTGTTAGTTGTGACCTGTCAGTAAGTGTGTGAGTTGTATCCTGTGTGTGTGTGTTGTGTCCTGTCAGTCAGTGTGTTAGTTGTGACCTGTGAGTCAGTGTGTTAGTTGTGTCCTGTGAGTCAGTGTGTGAATTGTGTCCTGTGTGTGAGTGTGTTAGTTGTGTCCTGTGAGTCAGTGTGTTAGTTGTGTCCTGTGAGTCAGTGTGTTAGTTGTGTCCTGTGAGTCAGTGTGTGAGTTGTGTCCTGTTTGTCAGTGTGTTAGTTGTGTCCTGTCAGTCAGTGTGTTAGTTGTGTCCTGTCAGTCAGTGTGTGAGTTGTGACCTGTCAGTCAGTGTGTGAGTTGTGACCTGTCAGTCAGTGTGTTAGTTGTGTCCTGTGAGTCAGTGTTGTTAGTTGTGTCTTGTGAGTCAGTGTGTGAGTTATGTGTCAGTCAGTGTGTTAGTTGTGACCTGTCAGTCAGTGTGTTAGTTGTGACCTGTCAGTCAGTGTGTTAGTTGTGTCCTGTGAGTCAGTGTGTTAGTTGTGACCTGTCAGTAAGTGTGTTAGTTGTGTCCTGTGTGTGTGTTGTGTGTCCTGCGAGTCAGTGTGTGAGTTGTGTCCTGTGAGTTAGGTGTATTAGTTGTGCCTGTTAGTCAGTGTGTGAGTTGTGTTCTGTGAGTCAGTGTGTTAGTTGTGTCCTGTCAGTCTGTGTGTTAGTTGTGTCCTGTGTGTGTGTTGTGTCCTGCGAGTCAGTGTGTGAGTTTTGTTATGAGTTAGGTGTATTAGTTGTGCCTGTTAGTCAGTGTGTGTGTTGTGTCCTGCGAGCCAGTGTGTGAGTTGTGTCCTGTGAGTTAGGTGTATTAGTTTTGCCTGTTAGTCAGTGTGTGAGTTGTTTTCTGTGAGTCAGTGTGTAAGTTGTGTCCTGTGAGTCTGTGTGTTAGTTGTGTCCTGTGTGTGTGTTGTGTCCTGCGAGTCAATGTGAGTAGTGTCCTGTGAGGCATTGTGTGATTTGTGTCCTGTGAGTCAGTGTGTAGTGTCCTATAACAAACGTCTTGAAAGATTGTCATTGATTTTAGTGGAGTAGCGGGGGATCGAACTCGCAACCCCTAGACTTATAGTCACACAGTGTTACCACTGCACCACAGCGCCCAATCTGATTTAATTCCCTATATACAATATCACATTATTGACCAAGAAATTGGGTTATGATATTAAATTTTCACACCTAAATAGTTAATATAGCGGTAAGGACTAAAGTGTTTTACAAATGTCTGATATTCGTATTCTTGCTCAAGGGGTTATGATAAAGAACTTTACACAAAGAGTAGTAAAAAATAAACAAGTAAGACTGTTTACAAGCAATAGAAATAAACCATACCAGATAAAAGTCATGTTCCGTTAATTAGAAAATTAACAATAAGTAAGCTGAAACAAATACTTGTTGTAAATGATACATGATGGTTTGAGACAAATCTATTAAATCAAGTTACACTGGTCAAAAATATTTTTGTTGGCGGAAATTAGGGTAAAAAGAAAAAAGTTAAAGCAGCATTCATCCAGACTCTGCTTATTTTCATGAAAGTTTTGAAAATGTAATGTAAATTAAAGGTAAAATATTTACTGTGGGACTCAGTTGGTTATTCGCGAGAATACATGTACCAAACCACCTACCAGAAGATAGTTGGTAATTCTAGCTTAGCTTGTTTACCCTCAAAACAGAAAGTACTTTTCCGGAATAAATATCATTGATATAAAGCAAGCTAGATGTGCTCTTCAACATTGAAATACCCTGTTTCCATATGTCAACCTGCGGACTCAGTTGGTTATTCGCTTGAA